CCACGTACGCACGCACGCACGCACGCACGCACACACACACACATACACACACGCACGCACACATACACAAATACGCACGCACGCGCACGCACACATACGCACACGTACACATACACACCACGTACGCACGCACGCACGCACGCACGCACACACACACACACACACACATACACACATACGCACGCACACGCACCACGCACGCACACTTACACACGCACGCACACATGCACGCGATCGCACACATGCACACGCACGCACACAACACATACATACGCACGCACACATACACACGCACGCACACATACACACGAACGCACACATAAACACGCACGTACACATACACACGCGCGCACACATACACACACACACACACACACACACACGCACACATAAATATATATTTAATTATCTATTTATCAGCAATATATATATACTAAGGAAAAAGCGCGCTTACAAGCGAAATATCGCTCGTGATTTCTCCCGTTCGCGACCTGTCGCCCAAAGGAAATGACATAGGGCCGACATAAGGCAATCAAATTTAATTTAGGGTGCGGCATGCTAGACGAGTTAAGTAGAGAATGAGTGTAAGTGAAAAAAGAAGGTATATTGAAACGGATCCGTAGCTAAACAATACGGGAAACACGGATGTAAATTGCTAAGGATTATTAATGATGTTATGATGGCAAGCTAGTCAATTGCAAGACGTATAGTAAAGTAGGCTATAAGGAAGGTGCCCTTTAATGTATAACGATTCTGGGGTTCTGTCGTGATGTCTGCACACCTATACACACGTCTGAGGGGGGATATATACATTTCATCAGGAGTGTATAATATAGAGATATTATACGCTCCTGATAACATCATACAACTGTGTGTGCGCAAAGCTTGACGCAGCCTCGGCCCGTTCAGCTAGTTAGCATTGCGGATGTCCAGTTGGCAGCTCAGCCTACACACGCGTGGTGAACCTTGGGAGATGATTCACTGAGCTTCCCCCCACGTCGTGTCCACGTGCACGAATGAAGCTTGCGCCACCTTGACATTTATAAGGAGTCACCTTTGCTGCGTGGATGTCAGAAGTTTTAGCCTTGACCACGCTGCACACGCCGACCATGTTTGACCCACGCCGTGTCCACGTGTACAATTCGTGTGCAAAACCACGCTGGCCTGAGTGGTATATAAGTGGGAGCATTTATAACAGTTGACATTTTTAGTTGTAGCAGCGGTACACTCAGCTACAAGTCGTAAGTATATACGTCATTAAATTGTATTCGTGTTTACCGTGTTTGAACTTAGTTCAGCTTAGATTTACTCGAAATCATTCTGTATTGTTCCAGATAGAGCAGACGAGCTCCAGCTAGCTTCGTCGAAGGATTGTACTACACACACTCTTAAGACCGGTATCAAAGGTTGCAGGTATATTGTCGTTGAATTGTACTGTTTTGTACGGGTAACGGTAATTAACACGGGTTTAGATGTATGTTTACAGTGTCATACAAAACGGCGAAGGCAGCAGCAGCACTGGGAGAGGATTGGAGCTATATATTGGAGCGTTGAGTGGACCGCCACTGATGGCCTGTATTTTGGTAAGATATGCAGCCTCACCTCCTGCAGAAGTGAGAGAGGAGAGAGAGACTACTGGACTCCCGATCTAGGTAAGTGCCCTTCTTGCTAGCGTTATAATAACGGCGTTACTAGCATAGC